TACGAGAGGAGATGAGACTTTTCATAATTCAAATGCTAGTTAAGCACATGCTTTAGCCAATGGACTCTTATTGTGAAGAGTTTTTATAGGAAGCTGTTTAGGTGTAATTGGTGGATAATAAAGACAGGAGACAGACTGCTTAAACCTTATAGCCGTGTGTATTCGGAGTTCCATTAAAGGAGACCTAGAATGTAAACATTTTCCTTGTTGTTGTTGAATAAATACAGATTGGGTGGACAAAAGTAACACGCCAAAAAGTCTAAGCTGTGGGTGACCTACTTTTTTACGTAAATTAGAAAGTTGAAAAACTGCATGCTGCGTGGTGGAGCAGTTGTTACCACTGTTACCTCGCAACAAGAAGGTTGCAGGTTCGAGACCCGGCCGTGGTCTTTCTGTGTGAAGTTGCATGTTCTCCCCAGGCATGCGTGGGTTTCCTCCGGGTACTACGGTTTCCCCCACCGATCACAACATGCCCTATAGGTTAACAGTTGTACGTCGCTTTGGATAAAAGCGTCTGCCAAATAAGTAAACATAAATAAATAAAATAAAAAAACTCATTTTCTGAGCAAGCTTTCCTAGTAACATCACAAAGTAACCACTCCTAATACAGCTATATGTTCCAAACCATTTCAGCGTCAGCATTATTTATACGCTACCGCAGAGCCATGGTAAGCCTGTTAGAACCAATCCCCCACAATGCGGGACAGAAATTTAGTCCAATGCGGAAGTGAAATAAATTGCAGTTCCACCCTCATCCACTGGGGGCTGGTGTCAGAAGCGAGCAAATCCTCATTGACTCCCATGTTAAAAATACCAATTTCACAGCAGAAATAAACATGTTTACAGCCTGGTACCAAAACATGTTTTTGGTTTAAATTATCTAGTTTACACTCATGACAACTCTGAGGGGGTGAATTTTTTTCTCACTCTTCTGTTTAAGTGTATTAAAAGTCTAAAATTCTGTATAATTAATGAGCATCAGACCCACGTGACCACAAAGCTAGCTCCGGGGAAAGGCCTCAGTAGAGCCTCGGTCTGGCCTGGAAACTGTTCCGTCATTTTCAGTCTCTCAACTTAGACCATTAGTTGTAGATTTGTGCGTTCTTTTTAGATATTATTTGTGCAATTGTTGGACAAAATGACTTGATGTGGCACTAATAGCACTAATGGAGCATCCAAGGAGTCTCTACTTCATGTTTTTCGGTAAGTAAAATTATATTTATGTATTTTAGGTCACTGCCACTCTTGCACTAGCTAAGCTTAGATTTTTAACATGTACAGTTTAACAATGAAATTTAAATGTAATAGGGTAAACCCCAGTGCATTTAACATAATGCTGCACTTGTGGAGCTCTGGGATGGAAACCTTTCCACCCAGTTCTCCCCAGCGGCAGCTCTGCACATCTCAGATCGCAGCGGCTTCTGTCTGCTGCGCGGGCTGCCGGCTTTCAGCAGCTTTCGGGAGACCTCTGTGTTCCACCCGGTTTTACCCAGCGGTCAGCTCGGCGTATCTCTGACTCAGAAGCTCTGGTGTTGTGCACAGTTAACTCCGGTTGTAGCTAGGTTGCTACCTCCGTTAGCTTAGCTCCCACCTCCACGTTAGCTTTGGGTTAGCTTCAGGTTAGCTTGTAGCTAGTTCGACCGGGTGTCGTCAGTTGATCCCAGCCTTACAGCCCCACCTCTTTTCCCTTTTGTGGAATTGTCTGGGCTTGACAGAACCTGTGACACGGTCAAAATGGCGGTGGTGGCCACCTCCCATTTTTCTTCAAAAACGTGTTATTGGAGCCTATGGAAACCCATTGTCCATATATGTATATGTCGATGGTTAGAACCAGCTGGCTGTTAGCTTCAGCTAGCAACAGCCTTGTTGAAAGAGAGAAAAACAAGTGCTCACCACCCGGGTTCCAGGATATACTGATAAAATCCAGACTATAGAGCTCCGGATCCCACGTGACTCTCAGTTAGTAGACGCCATATTGGCAGGAAAAAAAGGTAAACAAACACGGATCGTAAACATGAACATGAACGGGATCGGCTTAGATTTTACTTCGTCTGAGTTTACTTCACTCATTAAAACCGAAGAAATCGTTTTATATAGTCAGAAATTAAATAGACTAAACATCTCCGACACTTACCGTGCCCCTGGGATACTTTTTAAAAACGACAGAAGCTGTCGGAGCTGACTTCTTACCGGACCTGGCCGGGGAACCCCTTGGGATTTACCCGGAGGAGCTGGCTCAAGTGGCTGGGGAGAGGGAAGTCTGGGCCTCTCGACGCTACTGCCCTCGCAACCTGACTCCGGATAAGCGGATGAAAATGGATGGATGGACAAATAACAGATTTACATGTAAGTAGTTTAAATAGAGTGCTGTGCTGTTTGAATGTATGAACTGAACGCCAAGAGAAATCACTAGTCTGAATTTTTTCCATGAATAAAATAAATATGTCAGGCAGGAGCGTCTCAGGATCTGTCTGAGATCTGTCTCGGTGAGACAGATAATAGCAATCCAAAGTGCTTTTTATGTGTGATCTGACAATTGATCAACCACTGCTTAAAAATTAAATACAGCTTAGCCGGTTAATTGCTGTGATCATAAAACACGTAAACGGCAGCACGCAGAACTCACGAGGCAACGTTTTACGTGATGTTTACTTGTTGCTATGAGTAATAAGACAGAAAAAGCCACGCCAAAATAAGTTTAGGAAGCCCACTCAGAATCGTAATAAAAGCATTTAAAATAAACACCATACACAGTTGAGGAAACGTTGGTTTAAGTACCTGATATGAAGTGGTCGCTGCATAAGCGAAAACCTTTACTCTCGGTTCATTTCAGCCCGGTCACTAGCGAGTTTTATTACAATGATCCAACGTTTGCGGCGCTCCGGATCTTGGGGAATCCTGTAGATGGCTCATTACTTATGTCGTCCGTGTCTGTTCTGCATCCTGGGGCACAACAGGAATCTACCATATTTCCCGTTTGATTGAGTTTTCTGACAATAACAAATAGTCCAGCTGCCGGCTTCTGCCTGCCAATATGGCGCCGTTTCGATTTGAACTGTTGCATGCCGGGAGAAGTGACGTCAACTCCCGGAGCTCTATAAAGGAATGTCAGATAAATCCACAGCTTGTGGTCCGGTCCGGTACTTGTAGTCTGCAACCCTTATACAAGCAGCCTGTATTGGTCACACACTCATTCTTGACTCTCAGCTTCAGTAGGGACTTTTTTCTTTTCAGAAAAGTATATAAAATCACAAAATGTATACAAAATTGAACACAGAACATGTGCCAGGGCACAAAAATGTCTAATAATTTATTTGTTGTGCAAATAATAATTGTTTTAAAGCCTTTTTGTTAAAAGATCCATTAATAGATGTTATTTAAGGCTTGAGTGGGGACTTCGTGAGAAACCCTGACTGTAGTTCAACACACACACACACACACACACACACACACACACACACACACACACACACACACACACACACACACACACACACACACACACACACACACACACACACACACACACACACACACACACACACACACACACACACACACACACACACACACACACGCTGGTGAAGTGGGCGGGAAAAAAGGATATTTTCATAATGAGCTGTTATAAAAACTTTCAGTGTTCTCCTTTAAATCCTGATTCGTGGTGTTTCTCCATGTCTTTTCTAAATAACAGCCATGCATTTACAACAGCTACTGTACACTGGGTACATTTTGCCCAGAGACGGTCTCAGAGTGGATGAGTGATATTTACAATGATGTAAGGTATTTTGGGCGAGTTTTAAGGCTACATTTCCAGGCCTGCTGCTGACAACTGAGATGCAAAGATGAGTTTGGGTTGGAGCTGGAAGCCTTGAGCTACTGACCCGACAACACACCAGCAGCTACAGCCTCCTCCTTCACACTAATACCACATTCTGCTGGTACATTTATATCTGTGCAGAAATCAGAAACATCTTTCTTCAGTCATGTTGTATATTTTTGCTCTCTGTGTATTTTAGGGAGCTGCAGTTTTTGTGTCTAGTCTAAAGGACTGTTGGCTTCTTGTGCTCAATGTGTAAAAACTTGTTTTTTGTTTCAAGGACAAACCGCAAACTGATTTGGTCATGTGTGCATATGGGTGTGAAACTTCTGGGACTACTAACTCCTCAACACTCTAATTTTTCTCCAAGTTCCTTCTGAGGTTTTAGGAGAGCGAGAAATGATCCAAGTTTTGTCTTGGGCCGGTGATGCTGGCAAAACTAATTTAAAGTTGTGAACAGCCTTAACTCTCAGTTCAAAAAATTCTGCTTCAGATCGAACTTGTGTCCTCCTCAGGAAGCAGCACTTTCACAAAAACACGCCACAACATGTGAACATTTACAGATCTTATCAAACCGTCTTCCTCATCCAGCCCGTTTACTACACTGCCCACCTCCACTCACTCTATTCCAACATCCTTTTCTTTCTCTCCTGCTCTGACAAAGTCAATGCTGCCCTGACACCAGCCAAGTTCATCGCGCTAGAGCCAGAGAAGATGTTACACTTGAAGACACACACTCGTAATGACAGAACAATTACGGGAGACGCTGGTATTATTTGTCCTCCTCGATCGGGGCAGAGGAGGAGTCAATGCCGTGTCAGATCAGATAAAAGCATCACACAGATCTTCTCTTTTAGCTTAAAGTTAAAACATGTTTAAAGGAGAGTTTTAATTGCAAAACTAATCTGATAACAAGAAAAACCCAAAGGCCAAACAAATAAATGTCTAGAGTCACGATGTGGTGTTAAAAAGCAAAGGTGTGTGTGTGTGTGCGTGCACCTGCTAGTGCTTAAACCACTGGAGGTCAGCAAAAACAACATGTTTGAGTTAGGGTTAGGCTTCTATCCTCTCCCCATCTCTTGTCAGAACTTCTCTCCCTGAGATGCAGACATATTTTCTGTTTATTGATTCCTACTGCTGGAGGCCATCTTTTGTCCCTGTTGAACACCTGACTTAATACCTGTTATGTCTGTGCCTCTGTCCTCATCAGAGTCCTCTTCTTTCACATCTGGTTTGAGCTCCTCTTTAGTTTCTGGCACAAAGAAGTCCGTCTGGCGAGACAGTGGAACCATGTAGTTGATGACATCTGACCCGTAGATCTCAATAAAGGGGAAGGCACAAAGCTTCCGCTCCTACGCAGATGAAAGAAAGAAAAACACAAAACAGAAGATGAGATTAATAATACGATCTCGCCGTGTCATCACACACAGTCTCTGGATTTATTATACAGCTTTGCACATAAATCCCTGAGGACAAGGGCATCACTGAATATCACCTGGAATAAAAAACAATATGGCAACAACATTCTGATTTAAAGACCAAGTTCACTCTTTTTTTTTCATATTTTCACACATTTGCAGTGGTCTCTAGTATAAAAATAATGCTTTGTCAGACAATCCCTGAGGGAAAAAAGCTCTGGCACTTCTGTTTCAGGAAGTAGATGTTAGCCAGAGGCGCAGAAAGCGGCATGTTTTGAGGTCTGATTTCCTGACATTCAAACATCTTGCTTCTGATTGGCTAAAAGCAATGTGACTCTACCACTGAATCAGGTTATTTTTTTGCAGCACTGAAGTTTCATCTCCCTAAACAACTCAAGCCTGAAGGAGTTCTTCCATATTGTGAAGTTGCTAGTGCTAATGGTTAGCTTCTACTAGCTGAGACGTGCTCTACTCTCTCCTGGATGCTAAATCAACAACAGCCTTCCCCATAGCGCAGTATTTCTTGTTATTTTCTGTGGTGCCTAACCCAAACACTAATTTTTTGCTCTGAACAAACACCCAGACTTTATAAAGAGGTTGCACAATTAGGTGAGAAACAAACAGCATCATAAAATAACAAACAGAGAGGGATAAACAGCATGAAAGAACAACAAAAACAAAGAAATTCATGCAAAAAATGAGTTTTATACACAACTACTTTGAAAGCTTTCTCTGTTTTAAATTTGATAAAACAATTCTATTATAGTCCACTCAGTTTTCTTTTACAGTTAAAATCACCATCTGGTCCTTGCATCAGTGAAGAAGTAAATAATATATTAAACACTTAAATGATCAGAATTACTGAGCAAATACCTGCAAGGAAACATAAACAGGAGTACGAGTATGTTACAGTAGAAGGACTGTAATGGTTTCATGATAATTCCACACAAATCCCAGAAGTAACATAAAAAATATTTATTACAGCATAATCATTAAATTCTCAACCTTTAGCATTTGGGTCCTGTAAGGAGGGCCAGGAGAAGAACAATAACCCTTCTGTGGGGAGTTAAGGGTGAGTTGTGAATGTCTTCACATTGCTGACATAAAACTACATTTCATACATATGAATATGAACCTATGCCCTCCCATGTGACTCCATTAAAGCTGCACTACCATTCACATCAAAGTGTCGACTTTTTGCACTCACCGCTGGTGTAAATAGAAAGAGAAGAGGTTATAAATATTATACCATCATATTTTCTCTCCAAAGAGGACTTTAGTCTTGCGTAATTTTGTTTCATGCTCATATATGGTCGCAAAGGGATGGCAGAGGAGAGGGGAATCTGATGAACAACCAAAAGACAGCTGCAAGAGGCAGAAGTGAGTTATTCGGGTTACGATTAGTGTCAAAGAGACAGGTTAATGTCCTGGAGTGAGACAGAGGAGGAATAAATGACCAGAGTAGCTTAGCATTGGATTTGTTTCCTGGCAAAGGTTGGCAGTTGTAACATTCAGACAGGAGAAACAGGCACTACTGAAAGGAGATGATGTAAAGCAGTTAGTGATGCAATTTTAACAGAGTTTCGTTCTAAAGGAGGATTTCTGGCTGCATGTTACCGCTGGTTGTGAGCTGTCCTACATTTTAACCAATGTAATCAGGATAGATGTGGTTGCTGCTCAGCATCCAGATGTATTTGTGCTCCGCATGAGTAGATATGAACATCTTAAATGTGCTTTCTGTTTATATTTAGAAATAGATGTGTTGAGTTGATTTTTGACAACACGTTGTTCTGAGTGAGTTTGGAGAATCACAGAAATTTTAGCTAACATCTACAAAACATGATATTATTGTAAACCATACAACGAATGGATGGGTTTAGCAGTCTCTTCAACCAAATGTCAATGGTGTCTGCTCATCAGCTGTTGCTGGAAGAGAGAAGCCAACACAAATGGTTGAACCTGCTGCTTTGGTACAGAACAGCACACACAGCTAATCGAGTAAGACACTGATGACTCAAACGGACTCCACACGAATACACTTCTGAAACACTTAAAGGGATATTCCACCCAAACTTAAAATTTGGTCTGTTGACATATTTCCTGTAGATATGTTGTAAAAAATATTTTTAACCATCCCAGTCATTCTCCTGACCCTGTACTCCTTTAGCGTTAGCTTAGCAAAAAACACAACAAGTGAATGGATCCAGCTAGCACTGTGAGTAAAACAAGTCCTTAAAATCACTCAGTAGTGATCCCAGGTCTGCTTGGTGACCTAAATAATCAGACTGACTGCAAGTGAAAATAATTAGTAACAGGGCTGCCAACTTTTGAACATTTCAAAGAGTGAGACGGGGGGTGGGGGTGAGGGTGGGGGTGGGGGTTGCGTGATTTTTACTCATGACAGCATGGCAGGTGCTCAGGAAACAGTGCAAGGTGATCTGAATGCACCACAGAAACACAACTCAGCTGAAAATCAGCGCCCAGAGTGACGATGCGGGCCCAATTCAGCCTTGCCACGTCCCTCAGCAGAGCAGGGACTAAACATGGGGGAGAAAGTAGAGGGGAAATACCCAAACGCGCCCGTAGGAAGCTGTGGTCGGGCTGAGCTGCACCGGTCCGAGTCGCTCTGAGGAGTATTCCTGGAAAACTAGCTTTATACTTCAGAAATCAGCAGATTTTGTATAAAATGAAAATATGCAAGCCAAATTTTTTTATGTCTTGCCTAACTTCCATAAAGTGAAAACTAGATTGTGTGTGTGTGTGTGTGTGTGTGTGTGTGTGTGTGTGTGTGTGTGTGTGTGTGTGTGTGTGTGTGTGTGTGTGTGTGTGTGTGTGTGTGTGTGTGTGTGTGTGTGTTATATACACAAACAAACATAATGTGTGCTTCGATAATGAGCAGCCACTTGCTACCAATGAAATCTGTTTAATATTCTTAAAGAAATCACCTAGCTCAGTTTCCTGTGAGTCAGAGCAATCCTGATTGACTGTTTTTAATCTAATCCTTACTAAATACCAGTGTACGAGCTAGTGTCAGCCACTTGGCGGCCACATTAAGAGCCTCCAGCTTCTGGCCTGGCTATGCGCCTCGCTGCCAATCTCCTTGAACTCGCTTTGATAATGAGCAGCCACTTGGAACAAAAGCAGTTTAGTGAAGAGATAACACACACATCCCAGAAGTTTCTGTGTCAGATGAGTCAACCGAAACAGGACATGAGAAGATCTCCGTGTGAGCATCACTGACAGACAGCAACAAACTCAGTTAAAACACCGACTTGTTCATAGGTGTAATATTCTAAATCAGTGGTTCCCAATCTGGGGTTCGTGACCCTCAAGGATTGAACAGATTTATAAATCACCAGTCAGACAGAAGAGAACCCGTGGCGCTGATACTTCAGTCGTGGTGCAGAGCCTATGATGGGGAAACATTGGTTATAGAAACATTGTTTCATGTTGTCCCTGTGTGGGTTTTCTCTACCACATGGCTGATGACATGTCCAGGATGTATCCACCTGTTCCTGCTTGACTAATGGGTAAGAACACACACACACACACCCATGACCCAATAAATGAGTAAAACATAGTTTTAAAGAGCATATTTCTAAGTTTGTCAGGTAGCTCAATGTTCAGGAGTTGTGTATTATATGTGTGTGTTACCATGTAGTCTGATGGAGCCCATTGTATTGAGAGCCCATCCCAAAATGCCGGGTGAAAACGATCAACGTGGTTTCTCATATTTGTTGTGTTTCCAAAATATTTCTGTTTTGTTTTCACGACGTGAACACCGTATGGCTTTGGTCCAGGTCCCTTTTCCCCTCAAACTCATAAAAACCAAAGTAATTCCATATGCTTGCTTTTAATGTTGGCGGTGCTGGCCGTATTCCTCAGTCAGCCATGTTGTCCTGTGCATACTGTAACCTTTCCGTCCAAGCACCAGACTTCCTCTTGGCTGAGTTCCACTTTTAGCGCCTCGTCATTAATAAAATCGACTTTTTACTTTATTTAAAAATTGATTGATAATCATTCATGTTCGCATCTCGATGCATCTAAAAAACAAGTTAATCTCCCACCCCTAGTAGCCAGTCATCATGTAATGGTGAAAGTGCAAAATCAAGTCACCACACAGCAACTCTGTCCATCATTTATTTATTTAAATCGGTTATAGCGAATGTACAAAACAAGCATTGAATGCAAACACAGTAACGGAACACTCATCCCTCCATCTTCCCTGGATCTGCATCCACTGGAACCAGAAATCCACATTGCCAGAGGAAACAAGATTGTGTTAAACACCAATTGCCGTTTACTACATGTCACGATGTGGAGGGAAGGTGAGGGAGGAAGAGTGGATCCTTCAGGCAGGTAAATCATCCCAGGCCAAACAGCAGTAGACATTTGGTGCCTCTTTAATGGCCAGGAGTGCAGACACGACAGGGTAGACAGATGTGAACACAAACTGACATGTAACGAGTACGGACCGACAACTCAAAAGCAACACATAAGGCTTATATACACACTGGGATGGGTAATCAGGTAACACGAGGCAGGTGGACACAATTAAGGTAAAACCCAAGGCACAGGGGAGCAATAATGTGACACTACATCCAAACGTCTTTTGTTGTCTTTGACTTCAAATGGTGTTTTTCTTTTTAGGTAGTTTGTCCTCAAGTTGAAGTGGTAGCAGCGGGCTGTTTCTGCTTGTCTGATATTACTGAGAGGATAACCTTTCACACCAGTGGTGTTCTGTTGCTAAATACATGAGTGAGTACTGAGTGGAGGATGCAATGAAGTGTGGCGGTTCAGCGAGACCGGCAACCGGATGGTCCAAATAGGTTTTTAGACAAATGCGAGAGAACCACTTATTAATTTATGTCATTTTTTCATCCCCAATATATATTTATAGTTAAACTATGTAAAAACATTGTTCAAAAAAATAA